CCCCCCCCCCCCCCCCCCCCCTTTAAAAAAAAAAAAAAAAAAAAAAAGCAGCGAGGATACGAGGAGCATACAGTCGAGCCATGGCTGCACGGGAGGAAGGAGAGGTTTTGCACAGTAAAATAAGGCACCACGACGGAGCTGGGAGTGTAAACAGCTCAGAGGGCTTCAGGAACGGCTATGTGAAGAGCTGCGTCACCCCTCTCAAACAGGACCATCAGAGGGGCTTTTTGTTCAACGTGTGCAGGTTTTGCAACGAAGACGTACTTAATTCAAAATTGTTAAAGGTCTCTGCCCTGTACGTCGGCGCGTTTGTGATCTTCGCGCTTTCTTTTCTCATTTCTAGGAGCTTGCAAAGTGACTCGCTCTGGGATTTGCGGACTTTTCTGTCGGGCTTCTCCCAGTCCATCAGTCCTCTGTTCAGCATAGGATGTGCGTTCTTCTTTCTAACGTTTTACCTGAGGAGGAAAAAGAAGGAGAGCAGCAAATGTTGGCTCGTGTCACTGCCAGCATCGTGTTACCTCGGGGATTTTTTGGTTTTGCGGTTTTTGCAATGGGGAGAGGACCAACACCAGATGCAAATGGTGGGCAGGTTGTTATTCGTGTTGGGATGTGTGGGTCTGCTCACCCTGATCCCCACTCTCAAACTCAAACACAGTGTTCTTATACTGGTGTTCGCCAGCGTTGTGTGGCTGGTTTCTTTCACAAGTTTGAGCGGTCTGCCCGCACTGCTCAGACCGCTCTTCGCCTGCTTTGCGGGGGTTTCTGGATCCCTGCTGGGGCTCTGCTTTGACCGCTACTACCCGTCGAGGGAAGCGCCGAGTGGGATTTCCACCGCGGAGGAAAAGGTCCCTGTGATCAGACCTAGGAGAAGGTCCAGTTGTGTTTCACTGGGGGAAACGTCGACCAGCTATTATGGCAGTTGTAAAATGCCTCGCAGACCTTCGTTGCCCTGTATATCCAGAGAACAGGTAGGTCCCAGTCAGTCTGTTGTTGTAGTTCAAAAAGTAGGCCCACTGATCATCCACAGCTGCCCCGAGTACACATGTGCATCAGAGGAGGAAAACACTCGTGAAAAAAGCAACACACACACACAAAGCAAATCAGACTACAGAGAAAAAAAACATCCCCTCTCACTGAACAAAATGTGTTCTCCAAATGAGCTGTCCAACATCAGATATTTAATAAGTAAATATAAGTATAAGATTATTATAAACTATGCTTTCTCGAAGGCAATCTGACAATATTTTTTGCAGTGTATCATACAGGCCTGTATGTTTGTTTTTTGTTTTTTTTTATAAATATAGAGCAATGGCTTTGTCCATATTCCCTTTTTAAAATGAACATTTCAGCATAAAAGCCACACTAAAATGTCTATTTATAGCCTATAAACAATAAAATATCAACATTCAACATGCAAGTGTGTGCAGCCTGCTCGCCTGCAACACTTCCTGTCATCATGACACCAGTAATGTTTATCTAAATTTTTCCTAGGGAGCATATTCATTTAAAAAGTCCATACGCTACATAAATCAATGAAATGTGAGTGTCCATCTGCATCCTGCAGCCAGAGGAACAACACAACCAGCAGCATAGCAAGTGATGTGGCCTTCGGTTCCATCTGACTGTAGCAGTCAACAAAACAATGGGATGGTGAGCACACGCAGGGATTATTCAGTGTTCACAGTCCACATTCAGTGTGTGTCTTCTTGTTTTTGTTTGCTTGTATACACACGCCTCTACAAGCTGTATAAAACCAGTCTGTTTACATACAGTAGCTAACAGGTCCACCTCAAAGTGATGCTCCTCACTACTTTTGCTTTAGTTTTGTAAACCAATACACCTATATCGAGTGGTATCCATTCAAAATGAAGACTATCATGTTGCGTACAACATGTTGTGGACAAAAGGAGCTGATGCAAGCTTTTGCTTTAATTTGTATGTAAACAGTGTTGACAGAATGGTCACATTATTGTCAGTAGTATCCTAAAACTGTATTTACAAACAAAAAAAATGCTGTTTATTTTTTTTAAGTGGATGCCAAGACATCAGCTCACACGCATTGTTGTTGTGTCCTTCAGGCTTTGTTGGAACTGATAACAGAACTAAAAATGTATATCCAGCGTGTCTCAGTTGTGCAATTTCCAGCAGTTGTTTTTCACTTCATTGTGTTTTAGACTATTAGCAGATTAGCAGTCACATTGAGTTAGGCCTTAAACAGTGCATGAAAACTAAAATAGAAAAACAGGTTGGCTCATTCAGGAGCCCGTTTGAATATGAGCACAGGCTATTGTTTGACTTGACAATTGTTTGACGCCATCACTACGCTTTAATCTGTGTTACTGAAAATTAGTGAGAATAATAATAAAATATGGAGGCTGGGATATTTTTTTTTAAGCAAGTTTTGTGATGGAAGCCAACCTTTTTAACCTTTATAAGGATGTTGCTCCAACATTATTTACAGAAAATGTGTGATTTATTAAACCAAAAAAAAAAAAAATATATGAGTATATATGTATATATGTATACCAATTTGACTCAGTTCACATCCATTGTAGCCCGCAACCTAAAACGTACTTCAGTGATGACATATTCAGAGACTTGAAACTGTCTGGTCTTGAGTAAAACTGAATTGCTCCCCCTTTGTGTGCCACAGTTAGTTTTCCGGTCTCAATGTAGGTAGGTGTCTAAAGCTTGTGGTACACTCACAGTACTACACTCACCTACATCATTTTCTGTTTGATTACTTGCATGAAAAAATCTTGTATCTTTTAATTGGTAATGATTTCTTTAATTCATTTTTTATTATTATTTATTTTTAGCACGTTATTTGCCTGCCCCACATCCCCAAAATAGTTTATTTAACTTATTTTATGCCGTGTAAAATCACATGAGCATGAATTTAAAGACAGAGATGTGGAAAATGTGTGAAAAGAATAACAAAAAGTTACACCAAAGTGGTGAGTGAAATGTATATTGCAGTGCCATCTTATCAGCTGGGTATCTGACATCCATTGCAATGTATACTGGGTGAAAAGATAACCAGAATTGCAGGCATATGTTATCGCCTGCGTCATCATCAGACTGTCCTTAAAGACATGTTTGGTCGCCTCTCTGCCAGTAAAGTCAAGTTTTTCTTAGTAAGTAAATAGGACAAACAACATAAATGCCTGTGAAATGCCACTCAGGTGAATTAAAGTCTGAATTGCCCGTTAGTTTTGAATGTGGGGGTGAATGTGTCAGCCCTGTGATGCAGCTTACTGGCAACCTGTCTGGGGTGTTGTGCCCAGAGCATGCTGGGATAGATCTCACTTACTGAGGCCTAAAGTCTTTGCTATATAGCCCATAATGTAAGGAACTGTCATAGATGTGTATCTACTAAAAATGCTGTTTTCCTCTTTCTCAAGATTTTTTGTTTTGAATGTTAGCTGCTGACGGCAGAAAAGACATTTCCTTTGCTGGGTGTGATAATCAGGAATAATCAGTGAAGGAGAGCTGTAAACTGAGCACAAGAAATAATCTTTTGAAGTTTAACATCTCCATGTATGAGTGATTTTATAAAAACAAAACGAAAAAAACCCTGACAGTTTCTGCGTCAGAGGCAGGGAAAATAAAAAGGCACAAAGCAAGACTTTGAAAGGAGTCACTCAGGGTTCACTGGTGATGTCACACATGTTTTTCATTTTCACACATTTTACACACAAAACTAATAGAGCGAGAGACCGGCGCTTCCCTCTCCTCTCTTCTCGCTCGGCGCGCACCTTCTGTGTTCTGAGAGGGTCATTGGTTTTCCTGTCTTTCAGCAAGGCAGGAAGGTGCAGCAACACATGGTTGTATATACAGTAAGTTAGGGTTATGGTAAAAGATATCATATTGCCATTAAAATAATAAACAATTTTTGTGGAAATTATCATTTTTCCATCACACATTTAATCGTCAATGAAAAAACAAAATCCTGACAATGTGACATTTTTTGGGGGATCTGTACCAAATGTGTTTGTGATGTGTTAACAAACATAAATAAAAACTGGAGAACTAGATTTGTAGGTCAGGGCCGTCTCTGCAGAACTACAGTACTTCATTTTAATGCTGTTTGTCACACATTTTACCTTCATCAACAAATTGCAGCTTCTAAGATTTGCATATTGCGATTTTTGATAATATTTTCATGAATTGTGCACACACATCACCTTGGAACAATGGTTGGGTAGAGTTTTTTTTTGCATCATATAGATAAAAGGGAAGTCGTTTTGGTCAGAAAACACAAAAGTGCAAACTGAAGCCGGTAAACTAGATATTAAGAAAACATAGAAATCATTGTCACAATTTTCAAACCATCCTCAGCATTTTTTTATTTATCATTTAACGACATAGTTATGGAGAAATAAACCCCAAATAAAGGTCTGTACAGTTTATCCAACGTCTTTAATTTGTGTCCTATTATGAGGGTAACTACAGCAACACTACGCTATATAACTAACCGATAACTTACTGGTGAAAAGGACCTAACCAGGAGTTAAAGTCATTCCCAACAAACTTTAATAAATGGATAATAACGTAAACACAGCTTTCCTATTTACCTGCAGTACACTTCGAGGTGTCCTAATACAGAAAATAATGGCGGAAATGCCAGTAGACGCCTTTACATCGTTAAGTTCTTTGCTTCCATTTCACGTATGTATTTGATATATTGTGACACTGATGTTTTGAGACTCGGCTATGTACTGTGTTACATCTGAGGGCTACATCATCAGGTACTTTAGCAAAATTAGAAAGCTGCATTAATGTTTCTATAATTTAGATTTCTACCCATCATGAGAATCCTTCTAACATTTTCTATTCATGTTGGAACCATCTGATGTGTGAGATGTCTTAAATATTCTTTAGTTCTTGTTTCGGACGATGTGCCCCATAGTGAGAGTTGTGCCATCAGACACCGAGTATACATATGTCCAACATTTCTGTGATCAAAATGTTGGTATTTTAAACATTTTGCTTGTTTTTATTTGTTAGGCTTCTCATTTGTCATTTACACTAGGCTATATTAGAGCTGCAATAATGCACGTAAGAAGCTGAGTGACACACAAGTACGAATATTTTATTTAAACATTCAGGGTTTCACATGTTTTGTCTTGTTTTTTATTTCTTCACCCACCAGAAGTAATTGCAGACAGAACCCCGAACCACCTAAAGGTATTATTTGGTGTTCTAACACCAGAAGTTAATTAACAGTTGCTAATTGTGTATCCTTACTGTGTGCACTGTGTAGACAAAGTGAAAAACATTAGCCTACACTGCATGGAGTAGTTTCTGGCAACTCGTGGCGCTATAGAGGAAAACTTTGATTATTCATATTATTTGTCTTTGGACTGCACAAACGCCAAAGATATTCATCATTTAGGCTAATAAGATTAATTTAGCTTCTACGTTTAATTTTTTTTAGAACATTCTACTTTGTAGCTTGACCTGCCAAATATGTCTACCTACAGTCTGGCCATGTCTTTTAAAATGAAAGTGAAAAGTGTCACACAATCCTGCATATTAACAGTTTGGGGGTGGTAATGTGTCCTAAAGATTAGCTATGTGCCAATAAATGTATAAATAAAACATTTTTAAAAATCTACTTTGCAGGTATTTAATAAAGTAGGACATACATCCAAATAGAATCATATGTGCAGTATATTTTACTTCAAAACACTGAATGTAAACACAACTAAGTTTGTTTAGAAGAGAACACCTTTAAGTTTACAAGTATACAGAGGTGAAGATAAATGAGTGGAAGGTGTCTAATTCAAGAACTTGACAGTTCTCTTAAAAACAGATGTCTCTAAAATGTCTTCCTGAAACCAAATGACAGAAAACCATACGGACTTAAATAGGAAATGGACACACTGGTACGATAAATGTTTGGATCTACCTAAATAATCAAAATTTTCCTTCAGCCCATCCCATTTGTTTCAGCAAACTAGTA